TTTAGGTAACGGTGCGTCTAAAATTGAATTGACATTCTTATTTGTTGTCGTAATTCCCTCTTCGATAACGGTATGACCTAAGAATTCAATCTTTTCTTTAAAAAAATCACATTTTTTTAGATTTAATTTCATACCGTTTATTTCTAACGTCTTTAATACATTTATCAAATTTTTCTTATGACTCTCAATTGATTCCCCCGTAATTATTATATCGTCCAAATATACCGCTACTCCAGGTAATCCCTTTAATAATGAATCCATTGCTTGTTGAAAAATCGCTGTCGCTGAGGCTACACCAAACGGAAGTCGTGTCGATACAATCCACTAGGCGTGTTGAGTTGATTACTAACAGCTTTTTTGCCTCCTCATCTAGCTCTATTTGAAAATACGCTTCGGATAAATCTAATACTGTATATTTACACCCATTACCTAGTGTGGCTAATAATTCATTATATCTATCAAAATATTTGCATTAACCGTTTGTCTGAAATCACCGCAAATTCGTAAAGATCCATCTTTCTTCAATAGGGGCACAATCGGAGATGCGATATTCGAGTATTTTAGTCTTTCTAAAACTCCCATGGATTCCAGTCGTTGTAATTCCGTTTCGAGTTTTGCCTTCCACGCAAATGGTATCGGTCTACTTTTAATACATTGAAACTGAGGGTTGGATTTTACCGCTAAACTGGCCTTAAACCCTCTTAGTAAACCTAATTTTTTAGTAAATAATAAGAAAAATTTATGTACAATATTCTCCTTCCAAACCTCATTAACTATATTACATTGATTTATTTTAATTAATTTTAATTTGTTTATAAGGTTTCTACCTATCAAATTAATCCCATTGTTTACAATAATAAATTCATGATAGATATATAACTTTATTCATATAATTAACGGGTAATATACATTTACCTTTAATATTGATCATTACATTATTATAAGATTTTAAAATAATATCCGTTTTTGTTATTGGTATTTTTAAACGGTAAACGTCTTCTATATTCAAAATGGAGACTGCCGATCCTGTGTCAATTAAAAATTTAATATAAATTTTATCTATCAATAATTTCACCTCAAATTTTTCTCGAGACTCCTCTGGATTCCCAATCCTCAAAACTTTTTCGCTCATTTTCTGGAACATCTATCGTTCGAATATATTCTTTCTTCCCACGATTCCTTCTGCATACTTTTTGTAAATGTCCTTTTATCCCACATTATGGCAGATGGCATTCCAATTAGGGCACTTAGGTTTTATGTGATCTCCTAATCCACAACAATAGCAAATAATTTTTGATACTGGTTTGTACTTGTCATACTGTTCCCTTGTTACTGTTTTTGAGATTTTATTTATCTCCTTCCCTGCAGATTATTTTTCATACGACATCATTTCTGTAGTCGTCTCTATTGCGGTCGCGATTTGTATTGCACTTTCCCATGTCAAGTCCTGCGTGTTAATTAATTTCATTAATTTTTTTCCATTATTAATTCCTGACACTAATTTGTCCCGCAATACTGTATTAAACATATCTTTAAATTTACACGTCTTTGCCTTTATCTTTAATTTATTAATATACTCTACGATGGTTTCATCTTTTTCTTGTTCCATTTTAAAAAAATAATAATTTTTTAAGGAAAATATGTAAAAATATATTTTGCAAACATGTTAAATTAAAATTTCATTGAAGATATACCATAGGAAAGTGACAATTTTCATAATCGTCATTTTTGAATTTTTTTTAAGGCATAAAAATATATTTTGTAAACATGTTAAATTAAAATTTCTTTGAAGATGTACATAGGAAAGTGACAAATGTCATAATCGTCATTTTTGAATTTTTTTAAGGCAAATGGGTAAAAATATATTTTGCAAACATGTTAAATTAAAATTTCATTGAAGATATACCATAGGAAAGTGACAATTGTCATAATCGTCATTTTTGAACTTTTTTGAATTTTTTTAAGGCAAATGGGTAAAAATATATTTTGTAAACCTGTTAAATTAAAATTTCATTGAAGATGTACCATAGGAAAGTGACAAATGTCATAATCGTTATTTTTGAACTTTTTTGAATTTTTTAAGGCAAATGGGTAAAAATATATTTTGTAAACATGTTAAATTAAAATTTTTGAAGATGTACCATAGGAAAGTGACAATTGTCATAATCGTCATTTTTGAACTTTTTTCAATTTAATTGAAGCAGATAGATAAAAATATATACTGTAAGTTAAATCAATTTTTCAGTAATGAAAAACCTTGAAAAAATTAAAATAGCCATGATGATAATTTTTTTGAAATATTTTGAAGAAAATGGTTAAAATATAAAATATAAACTATTTAATTAAAATTTCAATAAAAGCCACAGAAAAGTGATAAAAGTCATAATTATTTTTAAGCTCTATTTAATCAAATAGTAAATATTTTATTTGTAAAATATGTTATATTAATATTTTAGTGTAACCCGAGAAAAAGATTCATCGTGGCAAACTATTTCATACAAATACTTATTTATTTTTGGAAAACTGATTTTATTTATAATTAGTATTTCAAAGCCTGTTTTTATAAGAGTTTCCGCTATTTTTTCAATAAAGTAGCGTCTTATTAATCACTTTTTTTACAATACTTCGAAATTTTTTTTATTTTCTTGAAAATTTTCCAAAAAAATTATCAACATGGCTATTTTAATTTTTTCAAAGTTTTTTATCACTGAAAAATTGATTTAACATGTTTACAGTATATATTTTTATCTATCTGCTTCAATTAAATTGAAAAAAGTTTAAAAATGACGATTATGACAATTGTCACTTTCCTATGGTACATCTTCAACGATATTTTAATTTAACATGTTTGCAAAATATATTTTTACCCATTTGTCCAAAAAAAATTCGAAAAATTTAAAAAATGACGATTATGATAATTGTCACTTTATTATGGTGCATCTTCACTGAAATTTTAATTTAACATGTTTACAAAATATATTTTTACCCATTTGCCTTAATTCAAAAAAGTTCAAAAATGACGATTATGACAATTGTCACTTTCCTATGGTACATCTTCAATGAAATTTTAATTTAACATGTTTACAAAATATATTTTTACCCATTTGCCTTAAAAAAATTAAAAAAAGTTAAAAATGACGATTATGACAATTGTCACTTTCCTATGGTACATCTTCAATGAAATTTTAATTTAACATGTTTACAAAATATATTTTTACTCATTTGCCTTAAAAATATTCAAAAAAGTTCAAAAATAACGATTATGACAATTGTCACTTTCCTATGGTACATCTTCAATGAAATTTTAATTTAACATGTTTACAAAATATATTTTTACTCATTTGCCTTAAAAAAGTTCAAAAATAACGATTATGACAATTGTCACTACTTTCTTATGGTACATCTTCAATGAAATTTTAATTTAACATGTTTGCAAAATATATTTTTACACATTGGCCTTAAAAAAAATAAACTTCAAGTCTGAGTGGAAAAAAACAACCAAACTTCAAATCTGAGTCGAAAAAAACGACCCATATTTTGGGTCGAGTTCGACTTGAACTCGGGTCGAGGTCGAAAAAAACGACCCAAAATTTGGGTCAGCTCTGTTCGAGCCGACTCGGCTAAGCCGATTAACAACACTACTTACAAAGTCTTAATTTTATTTATTGGTGTAAAATGTTTCTATTGGGGCCAGGGTAGGGAAATTATCTTCATCTAAAGAAATATGTACAATTGACATAATATTCTTTATAGAATAAATCAGGATATTAGAGAATTAGAATACAAATTAATACCATGATTGATTCAATAAAAATGAAGAAATTTGATAGTTGATCTGAATTAAAAACTCGGTTTAAATTATTTAAAAAAATAATTAAAAGTACAATAAAATATCTTTTTCAATATTTTTTTAAAAAAAAATTTAAATAACATTTTGCGTTACCGTTACTTAAAAAAGAAACTCATTCTAGAAGAAGGCAATGAATGACCTTCCTTTTCTTCGCATTGGCCAGACCTGATTTTCCTTAAAACCGGGTTGGGCAGACATTTAAATAATGGGTCAAGCAATTCAAGCAAATTTTTTTAATGGGCCTGATCTCTAATTCAGGTATTGGTCATCGATTGGCCATTACTTTCTAACTAATCCTGATAGCCGTAACACAAAAATGAAAATTAACCTTTTAAATTAAAAAAAAATAGCCTTCTTTGAGCTATGAACTGATAAGAAACTACATATTATAATCATATTATTTTACCCGTGGTAATAGCTATAAAAATGGTATCGGTGCATCTCTGATATTAAATACCTCATCATCCTAAATATGGATTTAAAATGTTACATTTATAGGCTCTATAATTAGGAGGGGAGGAAATACAATGTTTCATCTATAATATAATAATTTTTATTCCTAGTAATGTGTAATGAATTATTGAAATTTTATTTAAACGATGAAATATAAGTTTATGATAGAAATAAATCATTAAGATAGTGTATTATCTTCTTGATATACCTAGATTATCCAGTTTAGGTTGATATCGCTCATTAAATTTATTCGCCAACTACTAATGTGGATTCGTGATGAAGGCGCTCTAAAATTCATTTGCGAAAATAAACATTCGTGATAAATGTTATGCCTTTAAAATTTCTTTGAATTGACTTGAAACCATTTTTTTGGACGTAAAATTTTTTTAACGATTTTTATAAAAAATGGACGCTCACAAGATATATTAGAATATTATTTATCTTCTGTTCTGGTTGTATAATCTTACAATTTATATGTTTTAATTTGGTTTCAAGAAATATAAATAAAAGTCACTCACTATCACAATAAAAATAATAATTCGAATATTTTACTACAAATAATTTTAATTTATTATACATAATTTTTATTATTCGATTCGAGTTTTCGTAAATTTCGTATCGAATATCGAATATAGACTTATTCATTACAGAGATGATTTACTACTTCTCTTTTATTTGTAATATATCTTTACTTAAGCGACTTTTATAAGAGTAGTTGGTTCGGAATTTGTTCAGAAGTATTTGGGAGAAGGACCTAGAATGGTGAGGGATGTTTTTAGATTAGCTAAAGAAAATGCGCCAGCTATTATTTTTATTGATGAAATTGACGCGATTGCTACCAAACGTTTTGATGCTCAAACTGGAGGTTATAAAACTAACATTTCAATAGTATTTTTATTAAATTAATTAAATAAATTGTGTTCAAAAATAAATTGGATGAAAAGCTATTTATTATAAACTAACCATCCCATTGTAAAATACAATCTTACACAAATTTTTTATTTTTAGCGGATCGAGAAGTACAACGTATTTTATTAGAACTTTTGAATCAAATGGATGGATTCGACCAAAATGTCAACGTTAAAGTATAAATTAACATTCATATGCGCGGCTAATTTTAGCCGACTAAAAACGCTTAGCCGAGATTTTAGGTGGAAAAATCGGCTAAGCCTAATTAGGTATAGCCTAAAAATCGGCTAAACCTAAAAATCGGCTAAGCCTAAAAATGGGCTAAGCCTAAAAATTGGCTAAAATAAATTAGTCAAAATTCTGCATCGATGCTTAGCATTAATTATTATTTATTTATTTTAGTAAAATAATTTATTTTATTTATATTTAATGTAAATATTTTATTATTATCAACAAATAAACATGATATGATTTAATATTTTTTATTTATATTATTATATTTTGAAATGAAAATAAATTTATTTGATGTTTTTTTAATAAAAAAAATAATATGCTGCTATATTGTAAAAATGTAATATTCTTTATAATATAATTTATTAGTGATTTTCACAATCTTCTTTGTAAATACATCTTTTATTGAGGAATTATATTGTAAATTTTATTAGATAAATAAACAATCTTTTAGGTGAAATCTTTTATCATTTTTTTAAAATTATTTATTTATTATTAAATGAGGTGGATTTGATGAAACTTTTTTGATGTTATTTTATATGATCTTTTTAAGGATAATATATTAATGTGACAATTGTCATAATCGTTCTTTTATAAGTTTTTGGATTTTTTTTGAAGAAAGTATGTTAAAATAAGTATTAATAACATGTGTAAATACAAATTTAGTGAAGATGTACCAATGAAAAGTGACAATTGTCATAATCGTTATTTTTAAAGTTTTTCGAATTTTTATGACGAAAATATGTTAAAATAAGTATTAATAACATGTGTAAATATAAATTTAGTGAAGATGTACCAATGAAAAGTGACAATTGTCATAATGGTTAATTTTAAAGTTTTTTGAATTTTTTTGACGAAAATTCGTTAAAATAAGTATTAATAACATGTGTAAATATAAATTTAGTGAAGATGTACCATAGAAAAGTGACAATTGTCATAATCGTTATTTTTAAAGTTTTTTGAATTTTTTTGACAAAAATATGTTAAAATAAGTATTAATAACATGTGTAGATATAAATTTAGTGAAGATGTACCAATGAAAAGTGACAATTGTCATAATCTCTATTTTTAAAGTTTTTTGAATTTTTTTGACGAAAATATGTTAAAATAAGTATTAATAACATGTGTAAATATAAATTTAGTGAAGATGTACCATAAAAAAGTGACAATTATCATAATCGTTATTTTTAAAGTTTTTTGAATTTTTTTGACGAAAATATTTTAAAATAAGTATTAATAACATGTGTAAATATAAATTTAGTGAAGATGTACCAATGAAAAGTGACATATGTCATAATTGTTATTTTTAAAGATTTTTGAATTTTTTTGAAGAAAATATGTTAAAATAAATATTAAAAACATGTTTAAATAAAATTTAGTGAAGATGTACTATAGAAAAGTGACAATTGTCATAATCGTTATTTTTAAAGTTTTTTGAATTTTTTTGACGAAAATATGTTAAAATAAGTATTAATAACATGTGTAAATATAAATTTAGTGAAGATGTACCAATGAAAAGTGACAATTGTCATAATCGTTATTTTTAAAGTTTTTTGAATTTTATTGACAAAGATATTTTAAAATAAGTATTGATAACATGTTTAAATAAAAATTTAGTGAAGATGTACTCTAGATAAGCGACAATTGTCATAATTGTTATTTTTAAAGTTTTTTGATTTTTTTGACGAAAATAGTTAACTTGCATCGATATTGATTTTAAAATAGAAAAAAAAGTTTACCCAAATTTTAAACAAGATTGTCTGGTGAAAATTGGTAAAAAAATAATAATTTCTAACTTAGGATTAGATATTATGATATAAATTTTGCATATTAATTTCTGACCCGATGAACAAATGTAATAAAATGCCAATTTGCTCCTGTTTTTGTCGAAGAATCTATTATTATCATATGTTTTTCTATGGCATATACTCAGGCAATTTTAATTTTACAATCTATATTTTTACCCATTTACATCAAAGAAATTTTAAAAATAACGATTATGACAATTGTCACTTTTCTATAGTACATCTTCACTAAATTTTTATTTAAACATGTTATTATTACTCATTTTAACATATTTTCGTCAACAAAAAACTTAAAAAATAATGATTATGGCAATTGTCGCTTATGTAGAGTACATCTTCACTAAATTTTTATTTAAACATGTTATATATACTTATTTTAAAATATTTTCATCAAAAAAATTCAAAAAACTTTAAGAATAACGATTATGAAAATTGTCACTTTTCATTGTCTTCACTAAATTTATATTTACACATGTTATTAATACTTATTTTAACATATTTTCGTCAAAAAATTCAAAAAACTTTAAAACAACCATTATGACAATGTCAATTTTCTATGGTACATCTTCACTAAATTTTATTTAAACATGTTATCAATACTTATTTTAACATATTTTCTTCAAAAAAATTCAAAAAACTTATAAAATAACGATTATGACAATTGTCACTTTTCTATGGTACATCTTCACTAAATTTTTATTTAAACATGTTTTTAATACTTATTTTAACATATTTTCTTCAAAAAAATTCCAAAAATTTATAAAATAACGATTAAGATAATTGTTACTTTTCTATGGTACATCTTCACTAAATTTTTATTTACACATGTTATTAATACTTATTTTAAAATATTTTCGTCAAAAAAATTCAAAAAACTTTAAAAATAACGATTATGATAATTGTCACTTTTCTATGGTACATCTTCACTAAATTTATATTTACACATGTTATTAATACTTATTTTAACATATTTTCGTCAAAAAAATTCAAAAAACTTTAAAAATAGCGATCATGACAATTGTCACTTTTCATTGGTACATCTTCACTAAATTTATATCTACACATGTTATTAATACTTATTTTAACATATTTTCGTCAAAAAACTTTAAAAATAGCGATTATGACAATTGTCACTTTTCATTGGTACATCTTCACCAAATTTATATTTACACATGTTATTAATACTTATTTTAAAATAATTTCGTCAAAAAACTTTAAAAATAACGATTATGATAATTGTCACTTTTCTATGGTACATCTTCACTAAATTTATATTTACACATGTTATTAATACTTATTTTAACATATTTTCGTCAAAAAAATTCAAAAAACTTTAAAAATAGCGATTATGACAATTGTCACTTTTCATTGGTACATCTTCACTAAATTTATATCTAACATGTTATTAATACTTATTTTAACATATTTTCGTCAAAAAAATTCAAAAAACTTTAAAAATAACGATTATGACAATTGTCACTTTTCTATGGTACATCTTCACTAAATTTATATTTACACATGTTATTAATACTTATTTTAACAAATTTTCTTCAAAAAAATTCAAAAAACTTTAAAATTAACTATTATGACAATTGTCACTTTTCTATGGTACATCTTCACTAAATTTTATTTAAACATGTTTTTAATATTTATTTTAACATATTTTCTTCAAAAAAATTCAAAAAACTTTAAAAATAACAATTATGACAAATGTCACTTTTCATTGGTACATCTTCACTAAATTTATATTTACACATGTTATTAATACTTATTTTAACATATTTTCTTCAAAAAAATTCAAAAAACTTTAAATTTAACGATTATGACAAATGTCACTTTTCATTGGTACATCTTCACTAAATTTGTATTTACACATGTTATTAATACTTATTTTAACATACTTTCTTCAAAAAAATTCAAAAAACTTATAAAAGAACGATTATGACAATTGTCACATTAAAATATTATCCTTAAAAAGATCATATAAAATCATCAAAAAAGTTTCATAAAATCCACCTCATTTAATAAAAAATAGATAATTTTAAAAAAATTATAAAAGATTGTTTATTTATCTAATAAAATTTACAATATAATTCCTCAATAAAAGATGTATTTATAAAGAAGATTGTGAAAATCACTAATAAATTATATTATAAAGAATATTACATTTTTACAATATAGCAGCATATTATTTTTTTTATTAAAGAAACATCAAATAAATAAATTTATTTTCATTTCAAAGTATAATAATATAAATAAAAAATATTAAATCATATCATGTTTATTTGTTGATAATAATAAAATATTTACATTAAATATAAATAAAATAAATTATATTATAAAGAATATTACATTTTTACAATATAGCAGCATATTATTTTTTTTATTAAAGAAACATCAAATAAATAAATTTATTTTCATTTCAAAGTATAATAATATAAATAAAAAATATTAAATCATATCATGTTTATTTGTTGATAATAATAAAATATTTACATTAAATATAAATAAAATAAATTATTTTACTAAAATAAATAAATAATAATTAATACTAAGCATCGATGCAGAATTTTGACTAATTTAATTTTAATAGATTTATATAGGCTTAGCCGATTTTTAGGCTTAGCCTTATTAGGCTTAGGCGTAGTTTTTAGCCGACTACGCAACACTACGCGCAACACTGTATTATATGTTATTTAGGTAATAATGGCAACAAATAGAGCTGATACACTAGATCCAGCTCTGCTGAGACCTGGTAGGCTAGATAGGAAAATAGAATTTCCTGTACCAGACAGAAGGCAAAAGCGATTGGTGTTTACTACGATCACCTCCAAAATGAATTTGAGTGATGAAATCGATCTTGAGGACTATGTAGCTAGGCCTGACAAAATATCCGGAGCTGACATTAACGCTATTTGTCAGGAGGTTTAACTACAAATAATTATTATTCATACTTATTATTGGTCAACCTTTTAATTAATAAAATTTACTTAAGTGATCTTTATTTTTTTATCAGGGTTCTGAACCACCCGTTTCGGATTCTTTATTTCCGAATCGCGACTTTAAAATATTTAATTTTATGAACCCAAATCCGATTTAGGAATTTTGCACATTATGATTGATTTAAAATAAATATTAGGTTAGCTGGTTGTGAAAATAGACCTCCTAAACATGCATTATTTTACAAAATAAGGAAAAGTTTATATTTTTTAAGTAACTAAAATTTACCGAAATATTTCCAAAAATATAAGAACAAATATTTATTAACGTAACATTTAAAATAATTTAACGATTAATTAATTAAAACTTATGTGCAAAATATAATAAAATATTTTTTTAAGAACAAAAAAACAAACAAAAGAGAATTGATTTAATATATGATTTTTATTTTAAAAAATTATTGATTTAAACCAAATTCATTAAAAAAAATTAACCTGACTTGGACCCTTACTGAACCCGGCGAAAATTTTATTTCAGAACCAGGTTTTCCAGGTTAAAATTTTCAATTTGGGAGAAATTTGAAAATTGTGAAAATTTATTTTTTGATGAATGTCATTTTGGTGTCCATTTATTCCTATAATTTTTTAATTATCTTAGTCAGTATCGTTTTTTAATTTTTTTCCAAATAGGAAATATTTTATTCTTAGTTATAAATTTATATTCTACTTTTTTATAGTGGAATTACTTTTTTTTACAAAGTAAATACTTTGATCTGATAAACGAGACAAAATTTTATAAAAAGAGATTTAATTTTATACAAAAACAAACGATCTTTATTTTCTAACTGTTTCTCGAAATTATTATTTATAAATTAAAAACGTTAAAATTCTGGAGAAATTTAACAGTTGCGGGAGAGGGATCTCTGGGTGTTAACTAAAAAATTGCGGGAGTCTCCCGCTGATGGGGAGACCTTATAACCCTGATTTTCATTAATGAGCTATTACATTATATTTCTACCAAATAAAAATAATAGGCTGGTATGCAAGCCGTGCGTGAAAATCGGTACATAGTGTTGACTAAAGACTTTGAAAAAGGGTATAAGGAAATTATCAAAAAAGATGAATCAGAATTGGAATTTTATAAATAATATATCAATATTAAATTATTTTTAAAATACTATTTTAATTTAAAATTTATGCTACAATTAAACAATTATTTGAATAAAATTGTTTCATATTTTATAATAATCGGAATTCGTTTATTTAGATCCTAAATTATAAAGATGCCTGGAATTATAAAAAGCCCAAGAATTCTTAAAAATACAATAGAAAAATTATAAAAATAATTAAATAATAATTTTAAAAGATAAAAATATTTTATTGTTTTAATAGGTTAAAAAGATATTTGAAAATATTAAAATTATAATTAACATATTATATCTATATCTATATAAAAATATATAATTAAAAGAAGGGAAATTAAAAAAATTTTGATTAGGTATGATCGACTGAGCTTAGACCCATGTTTGGATATGCAGTTGGAACGACAGATTTCAGCTGATATTCTTTGTCGAGCCTTCTTTTGGATCACCTGTGATTAAACGTAACCTATGCCCTATTGTTTTGAATAATTTTAGGGCTTGGGGTTCAAATGATTCACAGGTGTCTGAGACAACCGGAACAAACAAAACATTATTAAGGCGGCTATATTTGTTTGTTTCTGTGTTTCCGGCTTTCGTGATGGAGTTGACAGAAAAAGATTTGGCAAAACGATCCTTACACATATAATCCCAGGCGAGCGGTAAACCTTGGTTCCAAGGGACAAGCGTTATACCATCCGGTCTGGTTTAACTGTCGGAGCTGAGGCCGGATGGTTTCGTAGAAGAAATATTTGAGGTTCAAGATTCTGTTGATGATTGAATTAATAGCATGGTGTCTAGGTTATCTGTCTTTTGAGAAACAACAGTGTAGGGGGTGGTATTTTAATAAATAATGTTTAATGTCATCAATATTTGTTTTGGTTAAATCATTTAAATAGTTTTCTATTGTATTATTATTTTGAATCTTTTGATGAAATCTTTTATTATGATTAATTAGTGCAGAGGTGGTTTTTTTCTTACACATTATTTCTACCTTGCATTACATTTGGTAGTTTCTGCCTTAGAATCATAAAGATAATGATTCCCTATTAAGGAATTTTTCCGCCTTGCATTAACGGGTTCAGCTTGATCAGATATTGATTGGATAGATGTAGATCTAGAACTAGTTGAGGATTGGCTTTGTCCATCACCACCTCCTTCTCCATCAAGATTTTCAAATTGATCTTTGAATATATTTAAAATTATATTCTAAGTTTACCATCCTTCCTGAAATTCCAGATCAATGATACATTAGCAGCTGTAAGAAAAAAATATTTAAAACAACTTAAGAAACATAAATCAATTAAACCTTCAGAACAAAAGTAATTTTTTTAACCCTTCACTACACAGGTGGGGTAAATACAACATAGTCTTTGTAATACAAAACCTAGTAGATATTCTGACCTGGTTTTCACAGTAGTTTAATATTTGTAACAAGGAATACAACTTCCAAATTTCATAATTATTGATTTGACAGTTTTTGAGATATATGTAATTTGTCGAACTTGTGATAAAATATTCTCCACCTGTGTAATTACATAATTTTTTTGTTACTAATTATGATTATATATGGCAGTTTAATATATAAAATTGAATTTTTTTTATTTATTTCTATAAAATTGAACATATGATTTATAATTTAAATTATTCTAATGAAAGTAATTCTATAACAATTATATAGGTAATAGATTTTGAATCAAGTGATGATGATTTTTTATTAGATAGCAATCACAATTCAGAGATTGAGGAATCACAGAGATATGTTTGATAATTTAAATGAAAACTGTAATAACCTTATAGTGTTGGACATGTTGCAATTGCTGAAATGCTTCCAGCTTAGAGGGAAAATCCCTTCAAGCAATACATGCCAAATAAGCCTTCAAAATAATTTATGCCCTAGTGGATTCAAGAATTTTTTACTCTTTAAAAATAGAATTATATGCTGGCAATTATAAATTGAGCAATAAACCTTTTGATGTGCTTGAAATACTAATTCAACCAATTTCTAAGACTAATATATATGTCATCACAGATAACTAGTTTACCAGCTATGAACCAGCTAAACATTTGTTATTGTTAAATTTCCATTCATTAACTATAGTAGGAACCTTAAGAAATAATAAAAAGCAGATTCTAACATCATTTAATTTTAAAAAGAAAGATATTTATTCAAGCTTATTTGCCTTTCAAGATAATACATTAGTATCTTACACATACCAAAAAAGTATAAGCATGTTATTATGCTTTCTACCCTTCACTAAGGATTTTTTTCTGAGCAACTTTAATAAAAATATCTTAACTTTATTTAGAAATAAATCTAAATATAGAAATTTTGTATTTATTATCTCTAATAATTTTACAATAATTGTGTAAAATTTTAGGACTTAAATTTTATTATTATCTGAGATATAGCTATTTAAAATTTGGGGTAAAACTATTGGAGTTTTTTCCACCTGTATAGTGAAGGGTTAAATCAATCTTTTCTTATTTTGACATTGTAGTTGTCCATTTTGAAATTTACTACCCAAAAAATCATAACTTAAAATTTTAGCTCTTAGAAAATTATATTTCTTTTTCACAAATATATAAATAAAATTAATTTAAATAATTTATTTTCTTTAATTTTTAATAACACGTCGGTCATAGACCTGCCCAAATGTGAGCGTACGTGAATTATATGAAGGCCCATCCTTCATATAATTATGCCGATTTTTTTACTTAAGGATACCAACAAACCTTGTAACCCAGAAATAAAGTAAAAAGTGTGGGACTCTCAGCTATTTGTATATGTTAGTAATGAGTATAGAAAGGAAAAGAATAGAAAAAAGTTCCTTCTTCCAAAAAATTATTATTATTTTTATTTGAAAATTTTAAATTTATATGATGTTTTTTTTAAAAAAAATGTTTTAATGATAATAATTAGATTTAGTGAATAAGTAATAATTTATATTTAGATATATAATTAAAGAAATGTATGATATTTTAAGTATAATTTAAATTATTACCTTTACTATCAACACATTTGTTAGATGGTCATCAATGGCATATAATATACCTAGACTGACGATTCATTCATTAAAATGCATTTTTAAGCGTCGTTAAAAGCAAATCAGCTGGGCCCGCCATTTTGGTAATCTATACCATAATTATTTTATTAAAGATATTTAATTTAACATTAATATTTTCTTAAAAAGTATTTTAATAATTTATGAATGATAAATATCTTTTTTATTTTTATGGAACTAGACTATGAGCTATTATTGTGCAATATCATGCAATTCAAAATCTATTAATAATAATTGATCCTATATTTTCCAATTATCACAATGATCATATATACATAGCCAATTTAACAGTTTTATCTAGGAAGGTTAAATACCAAGATATATATATTCAAAAATTAGAAAAAAAATGAGGGCCTCATATAAAAGGGAAACTAGAAAAAATCAGAAAATTATTGATTTAAAATCCATTATAAAACAATTAAAAACTAAAAATTTGATATATGGTGAAGGAGAGGATGTATTAGAAAATTTTTTTACAGGCATTCCTTTAATCTTAAAAATCATTTATATTAAACGCATAATATCATTTGTTATATCTAAAGTAATGGAAAATAACATTTTTGATGACCTGGTAGATCTCATGGATCAGGAAGCAGCATTCAGCCACTACCAAATATTAATAACATTAATAGTGGAATGCTATATAAACATTAGATTATATCATTTTGCAGATATACAAAACAAAAAATCAAATACCAACATTCGGCAGAAGCTGACAAAAGCAATTTTATTTGCTGGAGAATAGCTCATGATCATTTTTAATTATATTTGATTTTTAAAATGTTATTAAATTTATATCGTAAATGTATATATTTAAATGTGGATACTTTATTTTAATGATTTTTGTAATTTATGTATTTATTTCTATTTTTTAATTTATAATAAACTATTTTTTATACAAAAAAAAAGTTAAATAAAAAAAATTTAATTATTATTTAGCTTTATAGATATAAAATAGAAATATTTTTCCCTGTTTTTATCAACATTTATTTTCATTAAAGATTCTATAGTATATTGAAAGGAAAATTATTGTTTTTAATCATTTAATTAATAGGTCCCTAATTTATGAAATTCTTCAAAAAATAAGGAGGTAAGATTAAACTAAATTGATCTGAAGTGTTAAAGTCCTTTTTTTTAATAAATGAAGTCATATAATGTTTTATTTTTATTAATCTATAATTTTTGTGTTTGAAAAAATATAAAAGTGATAATTTTTTTGAATGATAAAATAAGCTGGATAATATAATGTAAATAACAATGACATATTATGTCATTGGTAAATAATCACCTTATAAGGTTCGAAATATTAAAGGGTTAGCAAAGTCTCAAATAAACATAAATTCAAGCAATGCTTTGTATATATCTAGCTTATTAGATATTTTAAGAATTGAATAGAAATTTAAAAAAATTATATTATCTCTTAAGAAAAACAAATAAGATAAGTAAGGGATCTTTATTAAATACTATATAATCAAAATACATAAGATTTACTAGTAGCATGATAAAAATATATATTTTAATGAAAATTATTATAACTATCTAAATCTCATAATATTTTAAATTATTTGAATATGGTTCTTTAAATATATTTCCTTGGAAAATAGCCTTGAAATCATTGTGAGATAGGATATTTGAAGGTACCATTAATGCTTATTGATGTGGAATTAAAGGAGGTTTAGTCGGATATAACATAGGATAAATTGGATATTGTGGTGATGAAAATGTGAAACAAACAACTGTATTAACATTATTCTTTTTAAAAATGTTGATAAATTTTAATAAAGATTCTAGAAAATTATTATATAGGTAATGGTAACTTGCTTCCTTATTATCTAGATGATAAGGCAATTCTTCAATAAAGTTTCGTTTAAAATTTTAATGGTATAGGTAACCAATATGGCGACCCCAGCTGATTTGCATTGAGGTACACTTTTAACGAATGAATCGTCAGTCTAGGTATATTATATGTCATTGATGGTCATAGATTAGTTTCATAATTTTCTTAAATAAACGT